TTAAAACAAACAAATTAGATACAGCTTGATTGCCATTTCTTTCAATTTCTATGGCGGTAAAAAAAACTCTTGTAATGAATGAAAAAGATCTGGCAAATCTAAATACTTAAAAGAATTTCCAGAGAGCATGTTATGTACTATAGCGTGTGCGGTACCTCCTAAGAAAGTCTTTTAAAAGTACACTAATTAACACAAGTACAGTACATTTATTATCACACAAGAACTATCTTCCTCCTTTCTGAGTAAATCAGTCAGACTTTGTAATTGATCAACAAATAATTCATAACAGAGCAAGTTTGATGAAATGAAAATATGCAGAGCTAAACATAAAATGAAGTGATGTCCTTCCCTAGTAGAACATACATATTAATCAAGGAATGCCATCAAAACATTTCATTACCTAGTAAGAATATTCTTATAATGTTTATGCTACTAGGACAAGGATTCGTATAAATGTCTTTTAAGGGTTATGGTGACAGAATGCGGGCCTTAAACATAAACATCAATGAGAACATGGTATAGTTAATACTCAGAAATACTGAAATTCCCAAACAATATGTGACGAGATCATTCCATTCAAAGTAATAGAGATAAGACAGGACGTGGGTTATGGTGGAAAATCCAACAAAACAATCAGGTTGTATCTTTCTAGGAAAGATTCTTTAACCTTTAGATAACTGGATTACTAGAATAAAATATGGTTAATGGTGTATCTCTGCATTTGATCGGTGTTTTCTTTGTAGATGGCTTAGAAGAAGATAATTTCCTTGGTGAGTAAGATTCAATTTGATTAAATCTTGCAGTTGAGTCTTCTTCCACAGTCTCAAGTGGTGTGATGCTATTTGGCAGTGATGTGCACTTGCTGGGAGTAAGTCTCATTGAGCGTCGTCTAGGAGTCAAATCTGAGGAGCTCTTCTTGTTATTTTTAGAGGCTGAGCCAACTTTGGTAGGTGTTCTCAATCCCTCATCAAACTTTGTACAAATGAGTTCAGTAGTGGACATTCCTTGGTGATCCAATGTAAATCTCTTTTTAGTTGGAGTTTGCTCTCCACAGTGTTTCTTGCTTATACTGGTATTCTTTGATTTCAGACTGTCCTCAGACATCTCTTCGATCTCAAATGAAGCTGCCTTCCTCTTTTTGACAAGGTCATTGGACTTTTTAGGGGAGCATGTATTAGAACTCTGCCCTGGTAACACTTTTGTTAGTTGAGGAGGGGACTTCATTCCAGACAACCAATTCCGCATAGCTCCAGAACAAGCAGCACTTCCTTGAAAATCAAGTTTCTTGTTCTTCATTGGTTGTTTGTTTGACTGCAAAGTACCCTTTGATCCAGTAAATACAAAAGGCTTTTGGTTATTGTCTTTAGTTATAGTTGATGTTTTTGCAGATGATACAAAAGGCTTTTTGTTACTGTCTTTAGTTACAGCTGACGTTTTGGCAGATAATACAGAAGCCTTTTGGTTACTGTCTTTAGTTACAGTTGACGTTCTGGCAGATGCAATAGCAAGACTTTTATTCAAACACGCATTTTTTTCATTTGTACTGATACTCAGTTTCTGAGGTGTTCCTAATTTTTTTATAGGCTGAACAGACTTGGTTCCATTCTTTTTCAGCATCCTCTGAAGAATTTCATCGGCTGCAGCAGAAGCAGCTGCAGCAGCAGAAGCAGACAACAGATCTCGTTTACCACACAACTCACCACTTTCAGGAGAACGTCTCTGTAGCCAATTCATCATGACCGAACTGGAGGCTGAAGAGTCAGCAAGTCCCGGCGACTTATTCTTCTTTGTGGCTTTAGAAGCAGTTTTTTCAGTTTGATTTGCCACTTTTCCTTTGTGAAATCTGCCAGACAGAAAAGTAATGAATAATTTGATTTATAGGCAGAGGTGTACACAAAAAAACAACCAATATCAAAAGGGAAAGATTCTTACATGGAAGCTAGAGGAAGATTGGATTCTTTCTTACTCTGTCCCTGATCTTCCCCACGACCTAACAACTGCTGAAGCCTTGTTTCAAAGTCTTTAGGGGTTTCATTTATTTCTCCAGCTTTTCTTCTTGATGAAGCTTTCTCTCTCACTTGAGCTTCAACCATGGCAAGAAATCCATCCCAGTCATCATCAGAATCTGGATTATCTTTCTCAAGTTTAGACTTTGGTGAGGACTTGTTCAAGTGGAACTTTGATTTCTAAACAATAAGAATTTTCAAAAAGTTTAATTAGTATCTTTGATGTTGATGTTAGTAAAAGATCGTGGTATAAGTACTAGTATTTATATTTCACATACCAAAGGAGATGGTGTTTTAATTATATTCATTACTGTGTCTACTTTTTGAGGGGCACGTGTGAGCGGGGAGTTTACTTTAACACTCCTCCTTTGTAATCTTCTGGAGAGTACTTTCTCGTCTCTTCCAGAGCCCAAGTCAGGTGACATGATTTTTGGTCTCTGAAAAGTAATCAGGTGGAATAATATAATAATGAACACACTAGGTTGCACTTGTTTTTGTTCCAATGTAAGCTTTTACCTTTATACATTTTTGAAGGGGATCTGCAAGTTCATATTGAGACAATTTTTCAATGGGATATCTGGTTTCATCAACTTTTGTAAAACTTTCATCACAAGCCATCACCCAATGAGTTGAAACAAGACAGGTACCAAGCTGTTTGGCCTTGCGGAAAGTAGAGAGTAAACCTTCTTGAAACACAACGTGGGTGACCTGAACAAAAAAAAGTTAATAAAAGAATCAGATAAAGTGAATGATCAAACACAAATTTTTAAATTAAGATGACTACAAGTTCTCTACCTTTTTATTAAGAGTGTCAGATACAGATGCCCCAAGCTGTTTCAGCTTCCAGCGGAACCCACCAGTGCGGTCATCCTCGCCGCGCCTCACCTCCACATATGCTACAACACCTGAAATGCAATCAAGAACAATAACTACAAACTCCAATTGGATTTAAAAGATGTATTTGAGAAAATAAAATTATGTAAACATAAATACCCTTTAATACTTTAGATGGATCCTTAGGACTGCTACACTCATCTAGGTTTACAACTTTGTCAGGGGATCCAATTGAACCACGAATTACAGAATGCTCTTCCCCAAAAGCTTTCAATAGAATGGGTGAACATCTAGCAGGTGATTTATGAGTTTTTATAAGTTTACTGCTAGGTGTTTTCAATGGGTAATCTTCTTCCTCATCATTGAAAGAGGAAGTTCTTGACAATGAATCATTTAATTTTTCAAGATTCGGATCTTGTCCTGCGTCATTTGGTATCTTGTCACAATTGTCTGACGGTTCAGTTTGTACAGATTGACATTGACTTTTAGTCTCAGTCTCAGAGTTTGTCTGATTCTCAACATGAGATGGGCGACAAACGATCGAGTTACTTTCAAAAGATGATGATGAGCTTCTCCTCCGCTCCAAAGCTTGGTTCACGGCTGCAACTGCTCTCAATGGTGTACGCAGTTCTTCTGACACTTTTGTTGACTGTTTTGGATGCGGACTACTGTCTGGTTTTAAAACTACTTCAGAGAGAGGTTTGAAGGCAGTTATTAGTTCATCCTCTTGCACAGCAGGAGATCCACAGGCATTTTCCATATTTAAGTGAAGTAGAGACTGTCTTGCTTTACTTTTACGCAGTGGCTTCCAGCTTGGTGTCTTCTCCATTTCAAGGATAGTGGAAACATCAGTAGCTTTCACATGCCTGGGTGGAGACCAAAAGCTTTTCCTTCTGCTACTATCGACTTTGTCTGAGCTTTTATTCACTTCATTCAATGACTCACTTGGTTTCTTGGATGAGGAAGAGTGAGGTTTGTTTTCTTTACTTAGGGAAGGTACACTAACCACAGTCTGACAGGAACTCTCATTTTGCTGTCGTTGCTCCTCTCTTTCAAGTCTCCATGCTCCTGTGATGAAAGGGCGAGTGATTTTGGAAAGAGCCCTGATAGCAGAGGCACTCTCTTCTACTTTTTTCAGTAACCTCTCTTGATTTCGCTGATATCTCTCTTCTTCACTGTCATAATCTTCTTCTTCGCTTTCCTCCTTTCTAGATTTAGAGGCAGCCTTGGAGGCAAGAAACCTCACTCTAGATGCACTCATTTTTTTGAGAAACTAAGCTGACTCTGAAGCAATTGAGCCTACCTAAAATTCCATTTCTGCCCTCGACCTAAAAAGCTGTCACAATCACAACAGCTTTCAGAAAAGACAACAAACTGACGTGAAAGCGCGCGCGCCTGCGCCTGCCAAAAAGGAAAAAGACAGTTCCAGGAGGGGGAGGGGGGAGGGGAGGGGAAGGTATGACAAACTGTTCCGCCCGTCGTAGTTTTGCAGGTATGAGAAACTCAGACAGACAGCTGGCTCTAAACAGAACACATACTTGTGGCCTCAAGATAGTAGTTTTTAGACTTTGTTTTTCTCCTGGTTTTCTCTGCTGTATCATGGCTCTCAATTTATCATCCAATTACAAATTCTTCAGGTGATTGCAGTTCCAGTAGCGATGTTGCTCTCCCTCTCTCTCTGTAAATCTAATGGGAAACTAGTGTTTTGTCATAACCTCTCTTGTTAATGCTGTTGTTTTGTGTTGCAGGAGAGTGACTAGTGTAGCTGCCCAACAAACAGCCCAGCTGCATCAGTTGGCAGCGAAACTCACGTCCTGTCACTCACAGTCGACATCCATCCCAGCTCCTGGAGCACCAGTGTTGAACTGTGCTGCTTTGGCAGCTCCTGCAGTGGTCGGTGGAGGCTGGTCTCTTCTGTCAGTGCGTCATAAAATTCGAAACTACTTTCCCAAACCCCGTGAAGAAAAGAGACTGAAGTACACGTGGGAAGAGCGTATAAAAACTCCTGGTGGAAGAGCCATTCTCATGAGACGTATTCTCAAGGGAAGACATGCCATTACGCATCCACCAAGCATGCTGCCTCATTGGCCCCACAGGCCCTATTAATGAAGATTCATTTGTTTTGTTTCATGTTGATTTAGTTCTCTATTAATAAATTAATTCCTATAATGACAGCAGCCTTTGGTTTTCTCTTGGTTACATAGTTTTCCTCAATGCAGAAAGTTTATTTTCTGATACAAATGTCTGCTAAAGTTATATGTACAAATATTCAATTGAAATAGATAAGTTTACAAAAAACATTCTTATGCAATCCAATAATTTTATCACATTGTCATTGCTTGTTAGACCAGACAGGATTTGTCAGGAGTCATTTACAAAGAGAGAAACAACTCTCTGAATGAATGCACTCTTCTTTTAATCATCTAATTGAGATAATAGAGCAGTCCCCCTCTGTATCCAATGATTTGGAGGTTTCTCTGTATCCAATAGGAGTGCTAAAACAAAGTTTGTTGAGTGGCCTGTCGTTGACAAGACGCCTCTCCTCTCTGAAGTCCTATACAAGGGGCACCGATATCGCCTCCCTTCAGACAGTTCTTGCTTTTGAGTTGGCTTGAACCAGATGATGGGCATAATGTCACTGAGTACCTGTAAACACCAAAAGTCATCCATTGCCAGGGCTCCGTAACTTATCATAACACAAATGAGTGGTAGTTACTCAATGTAACAAAACACATGTCAAATTAAAAGTTAAAGTTATCGATTTTGAAATATGTCCGATATTAATCATGCATATTGTGGAAAAAAGTTGGACAAGTCGAATAACAAACTTATTTCCAAAGGAATAAAGTAAAAGTTACAAATTATAACTTCAACTCTTAAAGTATCTCTTAAAATCAGATAATTGAAAAATCTTTTTAGCCCACACCTCAATAAGGGCTGTCAATAAAGTACCCAAATAGCCCCTAAAACGCGAAATTTGTGCAAGGATCAACTGCGGACGCCCGACCCACCTTTGGCAGCTGCTCTGCGAGCACGCCCGCCCCGCGGTCCCAGCGCGCACCCTCCAAGAACAGGCGGTGACAGTACACGCCGTCCTGAGGCGGGGAGGCGACGCTGTCCCCCCCGAGCACCTGGAAGTCGAACGTCAGCTGGTCGATGGGGACCGTGTATTTGCGGGCGAAGTCCTGCATAGCCCCCGTCAGGAAGGCCTGGAAAAGAAAACACGCGAGGCTGTCAAAGTGTACCCGGGGAACACGAGTCGGGGCGCGAGCGCAACCCGCGTCCCACCTGCGTGAAGAAGAATCCCGAGAGCCAGAAGACCTTCGGGCGGCCGTTGTCGTGCCAGTCCTGCAGGCTGCGCAGCCGTTCGCACAGGTCCGCGATGTAGCTGGCGAGCGGCTTGAGGCTCGGGTACGACGCCTTGCTCCAGGCGCCGGGCACCCGCGACACGAGCAGCGCGCTCGCCACGGCGTCCAGCTCGGGGGACATGACGATGAGGCCGCGGACGGCGCGCTGCAGCTCCTCCAGGGACCGGCGCACCACGTCCACCAGGCGGTTGAAGCGCTCCATCTCCTGCACGAGGACCGTGTTCATGGACTCCTTGTATGAGACCGGGAACCGCTGCGCCGCCAGCTCCAGGTCGAAGGCCTTCGGCAGCTTGGCCAGGATGTCGCCGGCGATCGTCAGGAGCACCTGATCCGTCTGGCCGCCCTCGACCGCCACCTGCGGGACACACGACGGGCAAGGGGTTCATGACGCGGACTGAGCTGGTGAACGAAGGACTGCTCGCCCGACCCGCACCTGGCCCTGGACGGAGAGCATGGCGTCCACGAGCGCCCTGGTGGCCTGCAGGTCCTTGGTCATGCCCGCGTTGGCGTGCAGCCCGTAGACCTCGGGTGGCGGCAGCGTCGGCAGCGCCTCCACGTGCCGCAGGTACTCGCGGTAGTCGTTCTTGCGCGGGAGCCCGTACTGCGCGCCCCCGGGGCAGAACACGTAGTTGGCGTCCAGCACGACGCCGTCGTTGATGAAGTTGGCCAGGATGACGACCAGCGAGCGGCGGTCCCAGTCGTCCGTGACTCGGCCGCCGTAGTTGCACTCGCCCGTCAGGTAGGAGATGGCCTGGTACGGCACCTGGGCACGGGAGACAGTAACGTGACGAGGCCGATGATAACGAGGCGAACGCCTGCGAACTACAAGGTAGGCCATCCTGCACTACGCCGAAGTACGGCTGGCTGGCCTATCTACATGTTCGCAGGCGCTAGCACGGCGAGAGCCCCCGAGCGGGACGTCCGCGCGCCACTGCGCTCCGCTCACCTGCTCGTACTCGTTGATGAACATCTGCAGCTGGCGGACGGAGATGGCAAAGTCGGACTCGTTGAAGCCGTACGGGATGTTCCAGCCGATGGGTCCGAACTTACGTCGCTCCTGAGGATTGTCAAGGATTTTATTTTCTCTGTCCTTTGGGTAATTATTGAGGAAGGGAGACACGAGGGCCGGCAGCCAGGTCGACGCCTACCTGGATCACGGCGTGGAAGAAGCAGATGCCGTACAGGAGTTTGACAAACACTCTGTCCTTGCCCGGGCAGCCTTCGAAGAACTCCGGGTCCCTGACGGGCTCGGAGAGGTAGGCGCGGAGCAGGTTCTGCTGCAGGCCGGTGGGCGGCTCGTTGGTCATCTTGACGCCGTTCTGCAGCAGGGCGGCGGGGAAGGCCGCCGACGGGTAGCTCGTGAGCCAGAGGCGGAAGCCGAGGGCCGTGTTGTTGGTGTCCAGGCCCTCCCAGATCTTCTCCAGGGGCGTCATGAAGGACTCGGCCACGTGGCAGTTCTGGAGGCACACCCAGCCCCCGGTGGCCTGGACAAGGAGCGACGACACGTTTTATGTACTCCCCCAGGATGCCGTCGGACTCGGCCGCACGCCCAAACCCGTGCACGTGCAGTAAGAGAAAAGTTTCGTTCCAGACACCGAAATTTTGATGGCCACGATCAAATTTATTCGTTCGATCCGTCCGGTTTAGTCGTAAGCATCAACATTTTAGTAGCTGTAACCGAAATTTTGGTTGCTGTAACCAAAATTTCAGTTGCTGTGACTAAAAGTTTGATGGCCATGACTTAAACAGACTGATCGAAAAAATTTTGATGGCTGCAACGGAACATTTTTTCTCAGCCTGTGCTCACCTGCGCCTCCTTGATCATGGCCGCCGCGATGGGCCCCTGGCCCTGGCCCAGCGAGATGGACGCGAACTTGTTGCCGACGCCCAGCTTGGTGGTGAACTTGAGCAGCGCGGCCATGGGGTCGGCGCCCGGGGACAGGATGAAGATGAGCGGCGCCAGGCAGTTGGAGTCCTCGTACGAGCGGGCGATGTCGAAGGGCGGCGGCGACACGTACCGCTTGTCCAGGTGACTCTGCACCAGCGCGCTCACGGCGTGTGTCACCTGACGAGCACAACATAACATAATTTGCCGAAATTTGGCAACTGCGTTGACATACCGAATAGGAACGCCATGAACTGAGGATCGCCACAGCAGGGGCGAACGCCTGCGAACTGCCGGGTAGGCCATCCCGCACTACGTCCAAGTGGGGCTGGCTGGCCTATCTACCGGTTCGCAGGCGCTGGCATGCATGACAAAATCCCCTGCGGACAGCGGACATGCAGGTAGGCCATCCAGCCGTACTTGGACGTAGTGCGAGATGGCCTACCCTGTAGTTCGCAGGCGTTCCTCTCTGCGACTCGGCGCTCAGTGAGTATCTCACCTCAGCACAGACTGTCTAGGTCGCCGCAGCAGCTTGACTCACCTTGTCGGGCCGCACCATCCGGAGGCAGATGAGTCTCTGGAACAGGCTGGGGTCCTTGCCGCCCGTCCACGCTCGCGGCGGGTCCGTGCTTTGAGGCTCTGCCAGGTCGTAGTACTTCTTCCACTCGCCCAGGCCGGACACGAACGCCTGTCGAAAACCGCCGAACCCGGGCACCTCGTCCACGCGGCAAACCTGAACGAAAATAGAACGTCGATCGCCTCCGGTTTGTGGAATTCCGTATACACGTTTCCTGCTTTTCCTTACCTCGTCCCAGGCCTTGTCCGGCAGCCAAGGTTTGCCCGGGTTCGGCGTGGGGTTCTCGAGGCCCACTCCCCCCGTGAGGAAGAAGTTGAGCTCGTGCTTGGTGAGCGAGCGTCGCGCCATCATGATGGTGGTGCACAGGATGAAGGAGAACAGCAGCTTGTCCTTCTCGAAGAGGGAGCGGCACACGTTGCAGTACAAGTTGTACGTGAAGGTGTCCGTGAGGAAGGCGAGGCGGCGCTCCAGGTCCCTGGACTTGTTGGCTGTCTCGATGGACGTGACGTAGATGTTGATGAACCAGGCGAGCGAGTACTGGTACATGGGGTCGATGTTGGGCAGGTCCGTGACGCAGTAGTACAGCGAGGCCGAGTGTTTCGCGATGGACTGGTAGTTGTAGCGGAAGCTCTCGATCTTCTCCTCCGTCTCCCGGGTGGCCTCTTGCTTGCGGGTGATGTCCTCCGAGAGCAGCTTGGACTCGTCCAGGACGCGGATGGCCGTCTCGTCCTCCAGGATGTTGCCCTTGGACTGCGACAGCGTCTTGAGGATCATCTCCTCCACGTCGCTGAGGGCCTTCTTGTTGGCGGCGCTCTGCACGATCAGACTCTGGCGCTTGTCCTCCAGGTCGGGCCGCTCCTTGGCCACCACGGTGCCCAGGAGCTGGTCCTCCAGCCCCTCCACCGTCAGCGCGAAGTTGACGATGGTGACTTTGTTGAAGACGTCCGGCAGGTAGTGCGGGTTGCGCAGCCGCGACGTCATGTAGAGCTTGAAGGCCGGGTGGTACTCCACGATGTTGTCGCCGAGGCTGATGAACGTGGTGCCGCCCTGCGAGAACGTCATGCGGAAGAGCACCGGGTCCAGGGGCGCCTCCAGCTCCTCCAGCACGTTCTCCAGCAGCAGCGGCCTGCCCGTCGACACGCAGGACTCGACCGTCTTCATGTAGTCGGGGTCACTGAACTTGGCGACCTGGAGGTCGTTGGCCTTCTCCATGCCCTTTATCCACTTGTTGGCCTGGCCCTGTGGGTCAACCATAAGCGACCACCGCTTGGAGCAGTCTACGATGATGGCGTTCTCGATGGAGAAGGCGTCCCTGGGCAGGCCGTGGATGTTCCAGCCCTGCGTCTTGATCTCGGATCCCAGCACCTGAGAAAGTAAGGCAGCGTGTCATAGTGGCACTGTGCTGAGCTGGACCTCGCGCCTGCCCCGTACTCACCTTGACAAAACTGAATTCAGCCGAGGAGGGGATCTTGAGCTGGATCACGTAGTCGCGCCACTTGGCCACGGCCTCGACGCGGAAGGGCGTCGTGAAGGTGCAGAGGTAGGCGATGACCCCGCACGACACGAGGATGTCGCCGGCCAGGCAGTCGTAGCTCGTCTGCAGGGTCTTGGCCGCCTGCGACCAGCGCGCCTTCTCGCCGCCCAGGCCGTTGATGAGCTTGTTGGCGCGCTCCAGCTTGCTCTCGCACAGCGCCACGTCGTCCTGGAGGGCCTGCTTGCGCTCGTTGGCCTCGTTGAGCTGCTCCGTCAGCTGCGCCAGCTTGTCCTCCAGCGCGCGCACCTGGCCTCGCTTCTCGTCCAGGAGGGCCATGGTGGCGGCGTACTCCTTCTCGGCGATCTCCAGCTTGGCCTTCTTGGGCGCCACCTCCTTGGCGACGACGTCGTACATGTCCATGGCGATGATCCACTTGCAGAGGCCCTCGGCCGCGCTCGACGCCTTGGCCACGATGCTCGGCTTGAAGTCCTTGTTGGGCAGGTACTCCTTGCGTATCTTGGCCATGAGCGCGGGCGGGATGTTGTCCTTGTCGTAGTCCTTGAGCGTCTGCAGGAAGTTGATGTCCCCCAGGAGCTTGAGGCTGGGGCCCCAGTAGTCCAGGATCTTCCTGCCGGAGGCCGGGTCCGGCACGCGATCAGGCGCAATGTCCCTCATGATGCACACGGCCGCCATCACCTGGAAGGAAGAGCGCGGTGAAATGGATTGACACTCACTATACCCCTCTCCCTTTCTGTTTATTCACTTACCATTTTGACGGCGTCAGGTGGGTTCTTCATCGACTTCACGAGCGTGATGTCCTGGGGTTTGAGCGTGTTCAGGGCGTTGATGGCCTCCTCGAGGATGGGGATGGCGAGCGCCAGATCCGCCTCGCACTCGGACTTGAGTGCTTGCGACGCCTCGGCCTGCGCGTTGGCCACCTTCTCGTCCTCCCGCACCAGGTCCGTGGCCTGCTCCACCTTGATCGTCTCCTGCTCGATAATGGACAGCATCTTGGACGACTCGCGCACCGCCTGCGCCAGCCGCGGCTGCAGGTTGGTCAGCTCCGTCTGCATCTGCGCCACCTGCGCGGCGGCAAAGTCGAGCTTGTCCAGACCGCCCATATAGCGGTTCTTGGCGTCCATGATCTCCTCCTGCTTGGCCACGGTGAGGCGCGCGAACGACTTGATGAGCTCGAGGAACGCCGACGACGTGATGTACGTCTTGCGGCCCGTGGCGGCGTGGAACCGGTCCGCGGCCACCTTGGACGTGGCGTGGAAGTACTTGCAGGCCTGCACGGCGTTGGTGCGCACGTTGGCGTCCAGGGCCACGTCGGACAGGTAGCGGGTCGCCACCATGCCGAGGGCGTCCTCGGGCCACATCTCGTACCTGTCGGAGTAGAGCAGAGCTTTAGACCAGTGCCCTCCCAGCAGAGAGCAAAGACAGAGGGCTGAGGGACGAACCAGTCGATGGTGCAGCAGTTGACCAGCGAGGGGTAGAGTCGGAGCCGGGAGCGGAAGGACGGCCCGATGGGGCTGAAGCACAGCATCATGTGCAGCTTCTGTTTGCAGCGGTTGATGAAGAAGGCGAACACCTGCTCACAGACATGATTGTTAGTCAGGAAAAGTACTGCACATGACCTTCTGTACCCTGTACTTCCTGCACCCACCTGGAGAGGGCTGACATCCATGTTGCGGTTGCCCCCCTGCGCGGCGAGGCGCACCAGCTCCAGGATCTCCTGCTTCTCGTCCACGGCGAAGATGTTGGGCACCTCTCCCGAGTTCAGCAGCGAGTCGATGTCCTGCAGGAACACCTCCTCCTTGATCTGCGTCTCGTTGAAGAGGAACACGGTGTCCTTGCCGCGGCCGCCCGACTCCTTGAGGACCTGCGCGAGAGAAACGGGGAGATGAGAGACACTTCGGCGTCCACCGCGACAACACCACCACCGCAACGGCCGCTGTCCGACCTGTTTCAAATCGTCCCTCCAGTCGTTGACGCCGTAGTTCTTGGTGATCTCCGGCTGGAAGAGGGTGCTGCCCATGATGGCGTTGCCCAGCCTGGTGAGCGACTGGCGACCCGAGCCGCCGACGCCCACGAGCAGCCCCGAGCCACCCGGGCAGGCGATCACCCGGCACACGCGCGCCAGGTGCACCAGGGCGTACTTGAACAGCACCACGTCGATCTTGGTCTTGTGCGACGAGTTGAACTCGTCCATGACTGCCTCGGCCAGGCTCTTGAAGTCCTGCGCGTGCAACCCGAACGCCGTCGGCGTGTTCAAAACGCTCTCAACAGGCAACACCCCCCGAACACCAGCTCACCAGCAGCACCCTGCTGCTGACTGACCTGGATGCGCGCAATCTCCTCGTACTTCCGGTCGTCCTCGGCCGCGTCCGGGTCCATGAAGTTGCCGAAGATGAGGGTGTCGAGCGCCTCCCGGGTGACGACGCCCTGCTCGTCGCACTGGTTCTCCAGGCAGACGTCGAGGCTCTCCTTGAAGTGGCTCTGCACGCAGTGCCGGATGAGTGCGAACAGCCAGTCGCGGTCAGCGTCGTCCACCAGTCGGTCGTAGAACACGCGCAGGACCTAGAGAGAGAGTTCACGATATAATTTCATTCCAACTTAAAAGGAGTGGGTAACTTTTCACGGAACTTCGTCTGAACTCGCGGCGAACCTCGTGCGTCCACAGGTTGACGAAGAAGCGCTTGCTGTCCACGGACTCCTTGCGGGCGAGCGAGCAGCCCTGCACCACGCGGGCCACGTCGCGCAGGTTGAACACGTAGTGCGACTTGGCGGGCGTGGGCCTCAGCTCGCGCATCGCCGCCAGGTACACCTCGAGCGTGGCCGCCACCACGCACTGGATGGACTGCGCCGCGTCCTGCCCGAAGCCGGTGCGACGCAGCCCCACCTGAAAACAATATGGTAGCGGCGTGTGAGGGGAGCGTAAAAACAAATAGAGAGACCGAAAATGCGGCGAACAGCACCTGCAGGACGTTGGTGAAGATCTTGGTCACGCTGTCCTCGCTGAACGAGTTGATGGAGTACAGCTTGAAGTGACGCAGGAAGCGGCGGTACACGTCCTGACGGCTGCCCCCGGGCGGGCCGCACGCCGTCACCAGCAGGATGCCGTCGAGGAGGAGTTTGGAGCAGTCCTGGAGGAGGACAAAAGCAAGGTTTGTTGGAAGGCCTATCGCACCACGTCGACCCTCGCGGCCGCGTCGCGCAGCACCACGCACCTTGAGGTCGAACCAGTTGCCGTGGTCGAAGTACTGGCGCAGCAGCTCGATGGCCGGCTGCGCGCCGTACACCTCCTTCTGCGGCATGTTCATATCGTCCACGAAGATGACGCACTTCTTGCCGGGCGGCGCGCCGTACTGGCCGCGCCGCCGCTTGTGCAGCTTGGACAGCACCAGGTCCTGGGTCTGGTTGGCGGACGTCTGCACGGTGAAGGTGAGGAAGGCGGGCAGGTACTGCTCCTGGTCCAGCTTGTTCATGAGCAGGTCCTGGATGTAGAAGCTCTTGCCCGTGCCCGTCGGCCCCACCAGCAGGAACGGCACCCCGTGCCGCACGTGCATCTCGAGCAGGTGCACGTACTTGACGGACTCGACGGTCGGCACGACCATCTGCTGGATGTTGATGGTCTCGGTCATCTTGACGGAGCGCAGCAGCTCGGGCCAGTGCTTCCACGCGCCCTTCTGCCGGTACACGAACACGTAGTCGTACAGCAGGCCCTCGTTCGGGATGGACAGCTCCACGGGGCCGACGCTCTCCGGCACGGGGTAGGCCTCGTTGTTGCCGCGCCAGAGCTCCTTGTAGAACTCGTCAAACTTCTCCTGCGAGTTGAACGACAGTTGATCCGTGTGATCCCGTATTCGGACAAATGGGAAATGACCAATGAACTTTTCCCAAGGTGACGTTTCCCTAAGCGACGCGACGAAAACTGGGTCGTTTTTTAGCTTTGACTTTGAAAAGTGTTCTCATTTCGTCGTCGAGCCGTGCCGGAGCAAGGAAAGAGTTCTAGCAGCTGTCGGCCGAGGCCATACGAGTGACAGCGCCTGCAACCCGCCGGGTGGGCAAACCCGCCGCACAGCTCCGTGGAGCGGGCCGCCGCCCTGCCAGCGCCCGAACCGTTCCCTCGCGTCGTCTGGTCCGCGTCATGGGGACTCGGGACGCTCATGGGCTCCTCAACAGACGAGGTCCACTACCTGTGACGCCTGGTCCAGCGCGCCGCCGAAGCCCCACACGCCGGCGTACAGGAAGGTGGCGTGCGTCCAGTTGGCGACGTACTTCTCGAAGTCGTCCCATGACTGCGTCGCCTCGTCCAGCAGCATCTCGGCCAGCTGCAGGACGCCGCGGACCGTGTTGGACACGCCCGCGTCCAGCACCTGGCTGCACTGGCGGCGCAGGAAGTGCGTGCACGCGGGCACCAGCCAGTCGAGCAGGTCGCTGATGAGCTGCGGGCACAACCAAGTTTCCAGCCCCAGACGTGTTTAACTAACTCTATCTCAAGGTCCGTCTTTTCTTACAGTGGCGTACTCCTCCTTCCAGCGCGCGGGTGCCCCCGTCGGCCGCATCGTCGTGTCGCTCTGCCCCTGGGCGTGCGCCCCCGGGCCGTGCGTCTGACTAACGCTCAGAGCGGCCATGGGGGCGGCGGTCCCCGGGCCCTCGGCGTCGCCGGCCCCCGCACCCGTCAGGCCGCTCATCCCGGACACTGCAGGGCCGGGCGGGCGCCGCGAACCACTACCGCCACCCTGTCGGGCGCCAAGCAGAGAACCATTGAGCTACGGACACTGTTGTTGTCTGTGAGGACGGGCAGCTCCCGGGGCGAGCCAGTCGTTACCTGCGGGGGTGCTCGGAGCCACGAGTCGGCGAGCGGTCGCCAGCCCAGAGCGCTGGGCTCCTGGTAGATCATGCCACACCGGGACACGGTGGCGGGCGACGCCTGCAGCAGGTCCATGACCTCGAAGATCATGGACATGGTGGGCGACATGGTGATGACCTCCCCGGACGTGAGGCACAGCTTCTTGTTGTCGTCCAGCACCGTGTTCATGTTCTCGATCCACACCGCGTCCACGGGGCCGTCGAAGATGAGCCACTTCCGCCTTCCGTCCTACAATGGAGTGAAATTAGCCAGGGGTGTGGCGGGGCGGGGACCTCCAGGGAGGCAGCGGGGAGGTGGGCTCACCTGCGCCATGGCGAACTGGCGGAAGGCGAGCGCCACCACGCCGTCGGACCACTCGTAGGAGACGGGGTCGAACTGGCCGTAGAGCTGCCCCAGCGTGATGGACTTGGGGTTGAGCGTGAAGTAGTCGACGCCGACCTCCTCGCAGCCCGGCTGCTCGGCCATCATGCCGAGGGCCTCGGCGAGCGCGTGCAGCGCGCAGGTCTTGCCGCTGAAGGGCTCCCCCACGAGCATGAAGCCGTGGCGGACCACCATCATCTCGTAGGTCTGCACCACCTTGGTGACGAAGTAGTCGACGGGCTGCAGGTTGCGGCGCGCGCACACGGCGCCCAGGGCCTCCTTCATCTGGGAGTAGTCTAGCTCGGGCAGGGTCACGCCAGGGAACAGGTCCGAGATGATGCCCTGTGGTGGTGACGGGAGTTGAGGTTGTTTACATTGCGGTGAACAAGCACAAACTAACCGCGAACGTGACTAACAGTAAGTAGTACGCTAACCTGGAACAGCGGCACGTCGTGGTTGAGGAACTTGGGCAGGTTGACGTCGATGATGGAGCGCAGCAGCAGGATCTCCTCCTTCTCGGCGGGGTACTTGAGCTTGAGGTTGCCGGCCGCAGACAGGACGCTCTTGACCGCGCGCATGCCGTAGTCGTAGTGCGACTGTAACAGGCGACGTCGGCGTAAGCAACCAGCGAGAAGGGCGCCTAGGGAGGGATCGTAGGACATTCAAACACCTGCGACGACAGCTGTTCGGAGCACAGGCGGTAGGTGGTGACGATCTTGACGGAGAGGGCGCGCGCGTCCACGTAGCCGTACGAGTACAGGGAGATCTCGCCGATGAGGGCGTAGTCCGGGACCATCATGGCCACGGTGCGGAACAGCACCTTGAGGTTGTCCGGCAGCTCCGAGCGACCCGCGTACCCGGGGTTCATCGTGATGCAGATATAGCACGATGGGTTCAGCTTGAGCTACAAAACGGTCGCGAGGATCGCCTCATGTTAACCGATACAAGAACCCCTAGCCATAGATTGCAATCGTGCTCACCTGAGTGCCCTCGAAGTTGAGCGTGGTCTCGTTCGCCTGGATGGCGACGATGATGCACAGGATTTGCTGCGCCACCACGGACAGCACCTCCAGCTCGATGCGGTTGAACTCGTCGAAGCAGGCCCACGCCCCGGACGACGCGAGCCCCTTGAAGAACTTGCCCATGGCGATGTAGTCGAGGCCGTCGGAGCAGTTGAAGACGATGCACTGCACGGCCAGCGCCTTGGCCAGGTCCTTGGTGGTCTCCGTCTTGCCCGTGCCGGCGGGGCCCTCCGGGGCGCCGTTGAGGTGCAGGTGGTAGGCGCCGATGAGCGTGCGGTAGCAGCGGTCCGTGAGCGGCGTGATGACGAGGCGGGGCGTGTTGCCCAGGTACTCGTACGCGTACGGCACCGTGGCGTTGATGAGCCGCACCAGGCAGTTGTCCTCCCAGTAGTACCTGCATCCGGCCCAAAGTGTCGGCAAGCTTAGTGTACTGCAGGCAGTAGTGCTGCGTTGTTTGTTTTGTCAGCGGGGTGGGGCGTCCCCCGTTGGGCTAGCTAGCTACCTCACGGATGGGAGCGCCGAGGAGGTAGGCAATCCAACCGCATCCTAGCATGCGTTACAGCGGTGTTGCCTACCACCCGGGGGCTCCACTCTGGCTCACCTGGCTCACCTACCTACCTGAGCTGTGCCAGCCACTGGAAGTCCTGCTCCGAGGACACGCTCTTCTCGGCCATGTCCCATACCACGTCCTTGGCGTGCACGTCGATGACGACCAGGGCGCCGAGGGTGACCCGGGTCTGGCGGGACAGCTTGCCGCGCACCAGGGTCACGATGTCGTTCAGCTGCTCCTCGAGCTTGCCGTGGTACTTCACCAGGTCGCGAGGGTGGCCCGACTTGAGGCAGTTGTGGACCTCGGCCGTCCAGTACACCTGAGAAGAGGGTCACTAAACCTAATTGCCGATAGAGGAAACTGGTCGGTTTGAACCGAGGGGTCCTTCACTCAATAAAATCAGTGTATACCCCTAGAAAAAATCACGAAAAAAAAATCATACAAATTCA